TCTGGAGGTCCTCTCGTGTTGTTTGGTGAAGCAGCAGCTTGTATGTGTGAGGAAGGTGGTTTTAGGGCAGGGTTGGGGTGTCTCTGCAGGGTCCCTGCCTTACCTTGGTCGCAGCTCTCCCCGTGGTAGCCCGGGGGACACTCTTTCCAGCACTCCCCAGTGACATGGTCACAAGACACTCCTGGAGGGCAGCTACACTTCTTCTTGCAGCCATCCCCGTAATAGCCAGGGTCACAGCCTGTTGATAGTTGGAATTAAAAAGAAAGAACATCTGGCATTACTCGATGGACCCTGGGAGCACCCACCAGCACCTCCCGAGCCCACGGCTGGGCACAGCGGCTGGATGAGGACCACTGTCCACATCCATGGCCATTCCCACCCGCCTGTGCAAGGTCTGCCTGTTAATTTAATGTGACTGAGTCTGACAGCAAGGTTTGCTAACGAGAGCTAAGATGGTCTTAGGAGGGCAAAAAACTGAGCTTTTCTCTAAGAAAAAGAGTTGGGGGGGTTCAGCCTGGAGAAGAGAAGGGTCCGGGGAGACCTTAGAGCCCCTTCCAGTCCCTCCAGGGGCTCCAGGAAAGCTGGGGAGGGACTCTTAGAATCATAGAATCATTCAGGTTGGAAGAGACCCTTGGGATCATCGAGTCCAACCATCTCCCCTACTCTACAAAGTCCTCCCCTACACCATGTCCCTCAGCACTGCATCTAAACGGCCCTTAAACACAGCCAGGGATGGGGACTCCACCCCCTCCCTGGGCAGCCTGTTCCAATGCCCGACCACTCTTTCAGTGAAAAATTCCTTCCTAATGTTCAGTCTAAACCTACCCTGTTGGAGCTTGAAGCCATTCTTGATGAGGGAGGGGAGCCCTAGGATGAGGGGGAAGGGTTTGACACTAAAAGAGGGGAGATTGAGATGAGATCTGGGGAAGAACTTCTTTGCTGTGAGGGTGGTGAGAGGTTGCCCAGAGAATCTGTGGTTGCCCCATCCCTGGAGGGGTTCAAGGCCAGGTTGGAGGTGGCTTGGAGCAGCCTGGTCTGGTGGGAGGTGTCCCTGCCCAGGGCAGGTGGTGGCACTGGGGTGGGATTTAGGATCCCTTCCAACCCGAACCATTCTGTGATGCTACAAAATGAGTCAGGGGGAGAAAGAGGGGTGCTCCGTGGGTTCTGCTTCTTGGCCACTCACTGGTCTCGCAGCGCTTGCCGCGGAAGCCGGGTTTGCAGCGGCAGGAGCCGTCCCTCCGGTCGCAGTCCTGCGTGTTCTGCTGCTGGCAGCGACACTCCTCGGAGCAGCCGGGGCCAAACGCCCACTTGGGACAAACTGGAAACAGAAGGAAAGAGACCAAATGACACAGGGCACGAGACAGAAGCTCTGCCACCCGGGGTGGGACCTGGAAAGGCTGTAAGCCAGGAATAAGGTATATCTCATAGAAAAGCTGAGGAACAAACATACCCAAATGGCAGTATCGTCCGTATAAGCCAGGATCGCAGAGACAGGCTCCGTAAATCCGATGGCAGCGACCCCGGTTGGCACAGTTGCACTTTTTCCTGCATTGTTTCCCAAAAAATCCTTTGGGGCACCCTAGTAAATAGAGAGAGATTTTTCTGGGCAAGATGCGCCGGTCTCAGCCTGTCGCTCGGTCTCCAGCAGACCACAGGAAAACCATAACAAACCCAAAGCTGTGCCACACCAGCCATGAACCCAGAAAACCCATCACTCCCCAGCCCTGAGGGCACCCATTGGCTCCTCACCCCACTTGGTGACACCCGAGGGATCTACCCTGTAGGGCTCTGGGAAGGAGAAAGTAATCCATGGGGCTGTTCCTACTGATGAGCAACAGTGGTATTCGCACTATTAAGAGAATAAAATTCTTGTTCTTTCTCTGTTATGCTAAAGATCTCAGTATTAGAAGCACATGGCAGACAGGCTGTGTCAGCACAAGGCTCCGGCCAGCATCTGCCCGGGCAGCACGTGCCTCCTCCCGTACAGCAGAGAGTTTAAGCAGAGGAAATGCCACCCTGGGACAACAGATGAGTTCTTCATTGTTTATTTTAATCTTATCTTCCTGGTTTTTTTTCTCTGTACCCCTCAATCACCTCCTTCCTACAGAAAGAAAAGGTCGGGGTATCTCTTGTTGCATTCATTTACATTCTGCTTCGGTCTCAGTAATAGCTCCCAGATGCTCCTTACCATTTGTCTGAAGTCATTTGGTCTGAATCTCTTATTGTCTCACTCCTTCTGTGTTTTCAGATTTTGTCCCCCAGATTTTAACTCTTTATGGGAACAAATACCTACCGACAAGCAAGCAGTACTGCCAAAGTAACTGCTGTTGTCACAACCTCTCAGTGCTTTGGTTTTTCTTCAGTGGAAAATACCTCCACGGTTCTGTAAATTCACCCCTGAACATCCATTTCTGACACGCTTTTCTGTGTCCACCACTGAATGTCCAGTGAAATACAGACGGGTGCCCATGTCACTGCTGAGCAGCAAACGGGGACTGCAAGGATCTTCCAGTGCAAAGACAAGGCATTCCACCTGCAGCACTGTTTTGTGGGTGAAGAATCCCCTTCACCATTCTTTTCCTTATTAAAACGACATTTTTCCACACAAGACTAGGTGACCCACCGAGTCAGACAGAGCAGGGAGGTGTTAGAGCCACTCACACTGTGATGGGCCAACAAAAGGGTTGAAAGATGCCCTCAGTGCCCAGCTGCAAAGGGAGCAGTGTAAATATTGTGTGGAGAACATTTTAAGGCTTCTGAGGAGCACAACTGGAACACCAAGGAGTGGCAGCAGAGGTGGCTGTGACAGCCATTTGTCAAATTATGGCAAATGCTCTACTAACACTGAGAGAAACAGAGAGGAGCCACCTCCGCAGGCTGGGGAGCATCACTCGCAACTCGCTGTGCATCTTCCCTTGTAGGAAAACGTTTTGGGGAGCAAAAGATGATTCAAGGATTGGAGCATCTCCCTGATGAAGAAAGGCTGAGAGAGCTGGGACTCGTTAGTCTGGAGAAGAGAAGGCTGAGGGGAGACCTTATCAATGCTTATAAGTATCTCAAGGGGGGGTTGAAGGAGGAGGGAGCCAGACTCTTTTCAGTGGTTCCCAGTGAGAGGACGAGGGGCAACGGGCACAAGTTGGAACATAAGAGGTTCCACTCAAATATGAGAAAAAACTTCTTCACAGTGAGGGTGGCAGAGCCCTGGAACAGGCTGCCCAGGGAGGGTGTGGAGTCCCCTTCTCTGGAGATCTTCAAGCCCCACCTGGATGCTCCTGAGTAACATGCTCTGACAAGCTCTGGGCAATCCTGCTTTGGCAGGGGGGTTGGACTGGATGATCTCTATGGTCCCTTCCAACTCTAAAAATTCAGTGAAATTCAGTGAGCAAAGGAAAGTGCAAGGGAGGCCCCAGCGTTGTGTGCCCGATGCCCACAGAGATGCCACCTCGCCTTTTTGCAGTGCGGTGAGACATCCCACCACCCACCCAGGGCCGTGGGGAGAGGGATGGAGATCTCCCCCACCACCGAGCGGGCGATGGAGAGCCGGGGTCTTACCGTCCTGGCAGAGCTCACCAGCCACCCCGGGCGGGCAGCGGCAGGCGCCGGTGGTGGGGTCGCAGGTGCCACCGTTCTGGCAGCGACAGGCCAGGCTGCAGTTCCTGCCGAAGGTGCCATCTGGGCAAGCTGGGTGAGAGGGAGAAGAGAGGGTCAGCCGTAGCCCCCTGGCATCCCACAGCCTTGGGGGGGTGGAGAGGAGCTCATCCCACCCCAGCATCACTCACTCTGGTTGCAGAGGAGGCCGGTCCAGCCCGCAGGACAGTCACAGCCGGTCCCCTCCGTGGTGCAGGTGCCCCCGTTCTGGCAGTCCTCGCAGGTCAGGCTGCAGTCAGGGCCAAAGGTGTGCTCCAGGCAGACTGTAAGGAGAGGCACCACCGCTGAAAACCCTTCCCGGAGATGCATCCCAGCATCTTGGGCAGAGAAACCCCCCGCCACACGCGGGCTGCGGCAAAGCCACGTCCATCTGTGCTGTAACACAGCTCCCGTGCACACGGAAGAGGCACTCGGCAACTCTTGTTGCTCACCACACACAAATAAACCCAGCAGGAGTGATTAATTCTGAAGAATTCCAAGCCAAGCACGCCAATTTACCAGCACTGCAAAATGCCCACCGAATTTTTCTGAAAGTGTGTGCTCCCCTCTTGCTTCCATCTCTTCCTCCTCCTCCTCGTCGTCGTCGTTGAAGAGCTGGGTGAACTCATCTCGCAGGATTGCGACGTGAGGGATGGGGCGGATGACGGGGCGCTGGGCATCCAGAGCTTCCACAGGGTCCTCTAGAGCTGGGGAAGAGGCCACGGAGGTGGCAAGGTCAGAGTGGGAAAAGAGACAAGATCTCCAAGAGGTGAGCAGCAGAACAGAACCTCTATAATAAGAAAGGGACACCAGCAATACCTGTAACAGGGTTGGTGCATCTGACCTGGCATGGGGTGTGCCACCCAGCCCTCTCTATACTGACCCCTCTAAAAATTTTTACAACTTGTCGGCTTGTTGGTTTTGGCCAGAATGGGCACGGACCAGCTAAGTGACTTCCATGTGTGCCACCCAGCTCTCTCCATACTGACCCCTCTAAAAATTTTACAACTTGTTGGCTTGTTTGTTTTGGCCGGAATGGGCACGGACCAGCTAAGTGACTTCCAAACCTATGGGAGAAGCTTTGATCCTAACCTGGACAGACACCTTGGGCTTCTCAGGCTGCTGAGCTCACACTCAGCCCATCCCCTTTGCTGTTTTTCTGACCAGAGCCACTCAGCTTCTTTGCCTTTTCTGGAGAGTTAATTCCTTTCTGGAAAATTAAACCATCTAACAAAATTATTGCAGCTTGGCAATTCCCTCTTTCCTTCTGGGAAGAGGATCTGTCAGGCAGAGCTATGGGTTCCCTTCCCTCACCGAGCAGGCAGGGGTTTAATGCCAAGCAATCAAGGCAGGAACAGGCACACTTGGGGCAGGGGCTGGAGACCTATAAAAGCCACCAGCTGGAGGTGGTTCAGGTGTTTTGCCAGAGCAAGGAGGTACTTAGTGGTGCTCTGATGGGTCCAGACCTCAGAAAGCCTTTCCAGGGACTGGGCGATGCTGTAGGGGACCAATAGATGCAGCAAGTGGGGTATTGGCCACCCTAGAAGTGTGTAATTTGGGGAATATGTTTGGTGGAGGGATAAAGACACTACTGCTTAAAAAAAAAATAATTCATTATTTCTTATAAGGAAAAACCGTAGGGGCTGGTGACAGCGAAAAGGGTTTTAGTTCTTTGGTTCATGTGGAGTCATTGCTGCAGATTAATATAAGTGCAGCTGTGCCAAAAATCCCTACAGTTCTCTGGAAAGGCTGGGATAGGACTGGTCCTGCCAGGGGAAACCTTTCTACTGGTGCTGGGAGTCATTCCCACCGCTAAGAGTAGTAATTACTGTGGAAAAAGGGGGGGTGTGGGGCTAGTGAGCTGTGGCCTGTGCTGGCCCTGGCTCTGCTGGGGGGAGCAGGGTGAGGGGCAGCCCCCAGAGGGCACAGAGGATGCACTTACAGACACAGCTCCTTCGGTCCTCATCCAGCTTGTACCCGATCTCGCAGCCACACTGGAAAGACCCCAGCTGGTTCTGGCACGTGTGTTCACATCCAGCCTCGTGGGACGAGCACTCATCCACGTCTGAAAAACACGGGATGCTCCAGTGTAAGGGGAGCTGGCCCTGGGTACAAGATGGGGGAGCAGGTATATTTTTGTCCCCAGGATGCTGATGGCATCCTCTCTGGGAGCTGTGTGAAGGTATCCACCTCCAAAAATTGAGTGAGACTCCCCAAGGGATTCAGGGAGCCCTGGGTTTCAGAATACCTGGTGCTGGGTCTCAGCTCCCATCCCTCACTGTGTAGAAAGAGGAGGGTAAACCTGGGGTTTCACCTGGGAAATGGTAAGGGTGAGCTCTGGTAGTGAGAACAACTCCTGAGGAGGGAAAAAGCCCCAAATTCTTTATGCTGAGAAGGTGATTCTCGGGGAGCTGACAGCAAACTGGTGTAAGCTGGATGAAACGCCCGGCTGTTTGCCACCAGGTAGGACAACTTCTTGTTCTCTTTACTAAAAGCTTCTGTTAGTCACTGTCTCAGCTGTATTTTATACAGACACTTTGATTTGCCTGTATCTCTTGGGTGAAAACGATGGGCAACGTTGGCCTCTGGGCTTGAACATGAAATGATTCCTATAAATGGAGTCAGCCCTGGACCTGGCTCACTTGGAGAGATCCTGATTTGAATTCAGGGTGTTCCAAAGCCCCCTGGGCTACTCTCCAGTCGTGCTGGGCTAGTGCAGGTTAGAAGGTAGGGGGTTAGAAGGTAGGGGGTTAGAAGGTAGGGGGTTAGAAGGTAGGGGGTTAGAACAGCCGTGCTGCCTTAACAGAAAGCAAACTGAGGAGGCTGATAAAATACAGAAAGGCAGAACCAGAGGGGCTCATTCCATCCTGTGGGGGTCCGGAGGGATGTTTCTGCTCACCATCACACCCACAGCCGTCGGCGCTCAGCCTGTACCCCGCGTAGCAGGCACACTCGTAGCCCCCAGGGTAGTTGTAACAGTCTTGCTGACAGCAGTGAGAGCCACTGTCGCACTCATTGACATCTATAATAAAAAACAAAGGGCACGGGATATTAATACACACATCTGGCTTGGGCAGTGGTGACAGCACTTTGTTAAAATTGCTCCGTGACTAGTTCTGGTAAGATTTTACTGCTCTGACTGCCAAAGGCTGAGCCAGTGTCCTTGTTTTCCTCTGAAATAAGGGACTCTGTGTCAACAGATCAGCCTTGGCAACGTGCTCCCCAGCCAAGGGAGGGATCTGGAATCCTACAGGCCTGTGGGAAGTTAACTGGGATGTGCAGTTTGAGGTTGTTCTGACAACAGAGGTTCTGTGTGATTCCAGCTGTAACACTCTTGCTTTTGGATTTGCCCTGTTAACAATGCTGATGTTGATGGGCAAGAACTGCACGGCTCATTCAGGCTGTCTCAGAGTCCAGGTCTAGGTCCAGATCAGAGTCTAGGTCCATCAAAGGATGGACCTAGACAACCTGGAGGAAGCACAGCTCTGGCAGCTTGAAATTTCAAGCCCCTTCATAGAATCACAAAATCACATGGGGTTGGAAGGGACCTCTGGAGATCATCCAGTCCAACCCCCTGCCAAAGCAGGTCCACCCAGAGCAGGTCCCACAGGAACTTGTCCAGGAGGGTTTGGAATGCTTTCAGAGAAGGAGACTCCACCACCTCCCTGCCACCCTCAAAGTAAAGAAGTTCCTCCTCATGTTTAGGTGGAACTTCTTACATTATTCTTCTATTTATGGGGTTTCATTTGTCCACTACGAAGTGAATTATCACAGTGCCCATGTAGCAGTGGGGTTGGTGAAGCATCCTCTGCCACCAGAGGAGCCTGGACCAAGGAGGTATCTGGCAGGAAATCAAAGAGCACTGCTGGGCTACAGAGTGTGCTGGGCTTCGTAGCGTGCAAAGGAATAATGCTCTTTCAGAGCAGACTTCAGTTCAGGTCCCAGCTTGTCCCCAGTCTGTCTGTTCCTACCAGGTGCCCTGGACAGACCTGCTCCTTGAAAACTGCAGGAAGAAGGAAGTGTCACTGAACAAAGAGGTAATAAAGTCAAGAATTGTTTCCCAAGTAATGTGAACTGTAACTCCACACCGCGTGGGAAGGGGTAAGTACTGGTTTGCATCACTGAACACTCTTACTGCTTGCACGCAAGCTCCTGTTTGCTGGGTTTTTTAGGTATAAGTGTCTCCAACTAACCTGCAGGAAGGGCACCCAGATTTCTTACAGCTTCAGGCTGCCTGAGGGATGGAAACACCCCCCCAGCCTTGGGGTCTGAGCCCACAGCCCTTGTGGTGAGCACAGGAGCAAACCACAGCCTACACTGGTGTGGGAAACCTCTGGCTGGTGAGCACCACGGTGGGTTTCTGTCTGGTTATTTGCACAAAAGGGTGGAGAGTAATGTGGTACGAAGTGCCTGCCTCACCTTTATGGCACTGACAGAGCTCGAGGTGCATTTCTCCCTTCCCTCTCCATTAACACATACTTTGTGTATCCGGATGGGGCTGAACTACCCTTGGCTCGCGGCTACTGACTCATTCTCATCACTCATTGCCTCAAATTACACTGAGATAACAGGCAAGATGGTACATTTCCAGCATCGTGCCTTCTAGACACAGGCTTATGGGTATCTGAGATGAGTCTCTGTATCTGTCAGTGCCCCCTTAGACCAGTTTCAGCTGTGAAAAATGAACTGGTTCTGAAGTCAGCATTTGCTGTCCAAGTTGGTCTCGAGTGGAGGTTTGAGGATGTCCTCAAGTAGAGCAATATCTCATCTGCTTGTAGTTTGCATCTCTTTCTAGCCTTGCTAACCTGTTTGCAGTGCATACACACATAGCAGCTCACATCCAGAGATCCCCATGGTTATTTGAGATGGACACCTCCCTGGCCTTACCTGTGCACGTCTTCTGGTCCTCCTCGAGCCAATAGCCAAAGTTGCAGGTGCAGACAGGGCCAGAGCTGGTGTGGTGGCAGGTATGGGAACAGCCACCATTGTTGGCTTCGCAGCTGTTCACAATCTCCATTTCTATCCCTGGAAAAGGCACTAACACTGGTTAGATCCTTCCCACAGCCCCTTCCCGCACCTGCATTTCTGCGTGCACAGCCCTGCGAGGAGAAAGGATGAAAATAGCTGTCCACGGAGGCTGCTGTTGGGCTGGGAAGTGATGTATGAAAATAAACCCATGGATCCCAGGCAATGCCCCACGTAGCCTCTGAGGGACTGAGCTGTGGAGCAGGCTCTGGACAATCTCTGAGAGGAACCAGACTGTGGAGAAAACTGCTCCCGTTCCTGACAAGCTGCAGGATGTGCTGCCAACCCAAAGTTGGCTCAGCCTTCCCCAGTACAGAGCTGTTCTGATGCCAGCTAGAAGTGGGAGCAGCGGAATCCAGCTAAGGATGGAAACATCCAGATGCCTACAGCTAGAGCCGTTAGTTCCTGACATGTCAAAAATGGTAGGCGCAAACATCAATAGCAGCCATATATCTTCTCAGCTTGGCAAAGCTTATGTAAACTTAAGTCTAGTTAATTAAGCTTTCTTAGGCTAAAAGGAACTTGTACCATGGAGTTTTGACTCAGTCCTGAACCCCAGGAAAACAATTTCTCCCTTCAAGAACTTATGAGTTTTTAGTGTGTTGAGACCCAAGGAGAGTGAGAGAAGGGCAGCTTGATGCTTCCCAACGGGAAGAACCAAAAGCTGTGCCATGGTGGAAGACCATCTTCCAGGCTTCACAACACAAACACAGTCCCTCTGTCTTTTTCCTTATTCATGCAAGAACAACCAGGCTTTTGCATAAAAATGTGTTACAAGGTGCAGGGAGAAACACTTTTCATGCAAAGGCTACTTAATCCTACAGTTGGCACCAAAGTAGAGGAATTTTCACTGTTACAGCAATGAGACACAACAACTGGAGGAACTGTGCCAGCACATGAGTGGGGCTTGTTCTTCCACTCTCCCTGCTGTAAAAACTGACCAGGGCTGGCATGCCTCACCTGGAAAACCAAGACTTGAGCAGCAATAGAACTAAGCTATTTTTCCCTGTGGGGCTCTTAGCTGGAGCCACACAGGGTAGTCTTCCCCCCTGTGCAGTCACAAGGCCTGGTGAGGAGGTAGCTAGGATTTATTAGGCAAGGTCCTGGCTTCCTAAACCACTCTCCTGTCAGCCCTGCTGGCCATCATAAATCTTCACCCCAGCACCTGACCAGTTGCAGGTGGAACTGAGCTTTGGGATGTTTTTTTTACAGAATACACAGGGTGAGGTAAACCACCTTCCCAGGAAGAAAGGCTCTTGAACAGCACATCATCTGCCTCGTTCCTTGCCTTGCTCTCACTTTGATGCCTTTCAAGACCCATTTATGGTCTGCAAAGCCTTACCCTCAGACCCTCAGCAGGGTCCTGGTGAGAGTGGCTGCGCAGGTGGAGCATCACCAGCTCCAGTCACACCAGCACTGGCTCCCAGCTGCGAGGGGGCTGCTAGTGCCAGATGCCGATGGCTGGGCTTCGGACTATCCCTGCTGGTGTGTATTAGCTGCAGGAGGATGGCTATCTGGCCATCTATGACAATCTGGCTCATTCCTGCATAATAGTGTTTATTTCTGCTCTTGATGGGAGCAGATGTGATCACTTCACTCGCTCAATTCCTTCCTCAGCTGCACATCTGCAGCCGACTGAACTCATCCAACAAAGTCCCCAAGAGCAGAACTTGGCCCGTTCGGAGCCAAACGGCTCCAAACAAATTGCCTAAACCAGCAAAAGTAGCTTCGTGGTAACTTTAAAGATCAGACCAAGTTTTTTATCTTGGTGGGAGAGTGAACGGCGCCAAACCTGCTTGTGAAATTCTTCAAAAAAAGCTCGCTGTGACTTGGCCCCCACTGAGTCCCAGAGGATGGTGCAGAGACACTGGCCTGGGGGAGCCCGAGGAGGGGCTGCAGGCTGTACTCACGGTAGCATTGCTTGCCATCGGCCCCCAGCTCGTAGCCCGGGTTACAGGTACACTTGAAGGAGCCGCGGGTGTTGAGGCACTGGTGGGCACACAGGGCTTGTCCCGTCAGACACTCGTTCACATCTGCAAGAGATGGGCACTCAATGAGCACGGCAGGTCGAGCCATAAACGTTCTTTCAAAGGGACGATTGTTCCTATTTCAAAATTTTTCCCCTGTTTTCTCGCACTCTGAATCCTTCCCTGGGGTCCAGTCCAAGAAAGAAACAGAGTGAAGAGTTCAGAACGACCGTGGAGCTCCCTCAGAAAGTGGCTCACGTGGAACCCCAGTGTTGTTCCAGTCAACTGGAGCTGGGCTCTTGGATGGATGGACAACCGAGCATCTCCATGCCACCAAGGCTTGTGCATCACCATTAAATTCACTCCACCCCCATGGGACAGTTGTTTTTCCCCGTGAAAGCTTTGCTGGAGGCAGCTCACCTTCACACGCCTTGTTGTCGGGGGCCAGCTTGTAGCCAGGGTGGCACTCGCAGCGGGCTGTCCCACGCTGGTTGTGGCACCGGTGCATGCAGCCCCCGTTCCTGTCGGCGCAGGGGTTCCTCACTGCAGGTGGAAGCAGAGGAGGCAGGGGTGATTCACACCCATCCCAGCCCTTAATGACACCATGCTCATGGGAGGGGAGAGCATCGGGCAGCTACACCTGGCAAAAACCTCTGGGAGTGACTGTTCTCCCCCAGAAAACCTCTGCTACTCTTCAGTGCTCCATCCATTGGAATGGGCATTGGAATAGGCTGCCCAGGGAGGTGGTTGAGTCCCCATCCCTGGATGTGTTTAAGGGACGTTTAGATGGGGTACTGAGGGATATGGTGTAGGGGAGGACTTTGTAGAGTAGGGGAGATGGTTGGACTCGATGATCCCAAGGGTCTCTTCCAACCTGAATGATTCTATGATTCTATGATCCAGGCAGGAGGGTTTACATGGTGTGAGATCCTGCAAAAGGCAGACACTAATCCGAGTAAACACCTTTCCAGCAGAAGCAGGGTTTACACGGTGTGAGATCCTGCAAAAGGCAGGCACTTAATCCGAGTAAACACCTTTCCAGCAGAAGCTTGGCATGGGCATGTCCCTCCGTAGGGATTAGAGGGCAAGAACCAGGGAAATTTGCTTCGAGTGCTCCTATCGAGAGCTTTGCCCATCTCTGACCCAGACAGATGCTACAAAACCCTGCATTTTTAATATCCCAGTTGTTCCTTTTCCCTTAGCAACTTCGCAGCTAAAAACTTCCCTCCTCCTCCTTCCCCAATGCCAACTGCTATGAATGAGGAGATTGAACTTCTGCTCTGTGTCCCCTTCAGCTTCTCTCCCTCCTGCAGCCGGGAGCGGGTCAGCCAGAGAGCTGTCTGCGAGCAGAGGGAGAGCGTCCCGTCCCGCAGCGACGCGCTGCTCACAAGTGCCGGCCTTCCTACAATTTCATTTGTGTTGGCTACGCTCCTTCAGCCCTTCCTCGCCTCTCCAAGCAAGCTGCAGAGCATGTCCGGGGCAATATAACACCCAGAGATTTTACTGGAGAGACCAGTAAAGACCTGGGAGTCCTGGAGGACAATAGGATGCCCATGAGCCAGCAATGGGCCCTGAGGGCCAAGAAGGCCAATGGCATCTTGGGGGGCATCAGGAAGAGTGGGAGCAGCAGGACAAGGGAGGTCATCCTGCCCCTCTGCTCTGCCCATCTGGAGCACTGGGACCACTTCTGGGCTCCCCAGTTCCAGAAGGACAGGGAACTGCTGGAGAGGGGACAGCAGAGGGCTACAAAGATGATGAGGGTCCTAGAGCATCTCTCTTAGGAGGAGAGGCTGAGGGACTTGGGTCTTTTTAGTCTGGAGAAGAGAAGGCTGAGGGGGAATCTGATCAATGCTTATAAATACTTCAAGGGTGGGTGTCAGGAGGATGGGGCCAGTCTTTTTTCAGTGGTGCCCAGTGACAGGACAAGAGGAAATGGGCACAAACTTGGCCATAAGAAATTCCACCTAAACATGAGGAGGAACTTCTTTCCTGTGAGGGTGGCAGAGCCCTGGAAGAGGCTGCCCAGGGAGGTGGTGGAGTCTCCTTCTCTGGAGACATTCAAACCCACCTGGACACGTTCCTGTGGGACCTGCTCTGGGTGGACCTGCTCTGGCAGGGGGTTGGAGGAGATGATCTCCAGAGGTCCCTTCCAACCCCATAGCATTCTTTGATTCTGTGACTCCCCGCTCTGATCTATTTGACATCAAGTGGATTCTCCCCATCCCCCCCCCAGCTCCTGGCTGCCCCTGGATAAAGGGCCAAGGCAAAGCTCTACGTCCCCCCCTTCCCATCTCCCCGCGGATGCTCGAGGGGACTCACGGACGCAGCGTTTGCCGTCTTCCCGCAGCTGGTAGTTGTGGCGGCAGCGGCACTGGTGCTGTGTCAGTGTCACCTGCACGCAGTCGTGTTCACAGCCGCCGTTGTTGAGGGCACACGTGTTCACAGCTAGGAGGGAAAGGGACACAACGTTCAACACCAAAAAAAATAACAGCCCCTGGAGGAGTCTCTTGCACGGGAGCCGGGCAAATGGGATGTACTTAGAATCATAGTATGGTTTGGGTTGGAAGGGACCTTAAAGATCATCGAATTCCAACCCCCCTGCCCTGGGCAGGGACACCTCCCACCAGACCAGGTTGCTCCAAGCCCCCTCCAACCTGGTCTTGAACCCCTGTGGGATGCCATGGAGGGGAAGGTGACAGCTAGCACGCTTTCAGGGCAGCATCAGCCCCTGTGAAGGGTATATGTGCTGGCAGGCAGGCTCGTTGCACTGAAATTCTCCTCATTTTGTACAGAGAGTCACTGCAGGTGCAGCTCCAGCAGCTTAATTACTGCTCTTGGGTGTATTCAGGTTTTCTTGTAACAAAATGATATGGAAAACTGAGTTCCTGGCTCCATACCACGGTGAAAACCCTGATTACACAGGGCAAGGTACCATCAGTTCTCCTCGGAATGTTTAAGGGAAAATGTTTTGCCATGGATCCTGCACATCCATGATCCCATCGGGGGGTCATCACCCCCGGCTTTGCCTAAGAGATTTCTACAGAAAAGTCAGGACACGGGTGTTTGACCCACACCACAAGGAGCCAGCGGTGTGACCGGCAGAGCTGTGGAGCTGGGAGATGTGCTGACGGGAACCCTGACCTCATCCGAAGAGCAGGCGGGACTGGGAACCCAGATTCCCGACTGGAATTCCTGGCCGTGCCACAGCCTTGCTGTGTGGCCTTGCGCAAGGCGCTTTCCGGCCCAAAGGATTTCAAACAGTCAGAAAACAGAAGGTTTTGCCTAGGCTACGGCAGAAAACAGACCTTATGACCAAACATGTGGACGATCTTCTCTTTTTACAGGCTTCCTATCATTAATCAGCCTTAAAATAACCTTCTCCTCCCCGCTCTCTGTTCTTATAATCCAGGAGTTCTCTGCAGGATGAGCAACGAGAGCCTGATGGATGTCTCACCAGAGATGTGTGCACCTTGCAACCAGCCCATGGGCAGTTTCTCTGCTTGCTTTCCCTAGGCTGCAGCTACCTGGGACCACTGACCTTGTGTCCAGGAAAAAAAATGAGCTAGAAAACAAAGCAGAGAAGGACTTTTTGGAGAGGGATGCACAGACTCCGGGAGATAAGCCATCCTGGAGTAATTACATGCCTCCAAAGGGATGAAAGTCTCCTCGTAGACCACTGCGTGTCTCCTGAGCAAGAAGACTGCTCCACAAAGAGGTGTCCCTTAGGGGAATTTGGCCTTTAAAGTCTGTTCATCCTCCTGGGGGGCACAAAAAGCACAAGACACTGCACATGGGAGCTGTGTGACGCCTAAAAGCCAGCCCTGGTCCAGGATGGAAACCCAGACCCAGTTCCCATAAGCTGAACGGTAGGATGAGTTGTGGTCCCACATGTTTCTGACCTATTTTTCAAACTCCAGGCTACACCAATGTGCTGACTCCGAGGAATCCTATAAGCAAGCTAAAAATATCTCTAAATGAGAAACATCTCTCCACGAGCTCACGCTTCAGGTAGTCCCAGTGCCCTCAACAGCCGCGAGAGCTCTGGGGAGCAGGAGAGCCTGGAAAGCACATGGGGGAGAAAGTTTGGGATTTTAATGAGGTCTCCAAGCCCCAAGGGAATCCGGGTCTGTCAAACCCCCACGTGGAGCAGCGGGAGGGATGGGGGCAGCTCTCCTGGCCTTGGGCACCAGCACCCCATCCACTATTCAAACCAGTATTTTCTACAGACAAAGTACTGAAAGTAATTTGATGGAACCTCTCTTGTACATTAGTGAAAAACAAATATTTGGCAGAGGAGGAAAATAAAAAGGCAAAGCTGTATATTCCTTTTTTTTTTTTTTTTTTTTTCTTCGCAAACAATTCCCCTGCAAAAAATATGTCTTGACTCAGAGCTGAGGAGCTCTCTCCTTTCAAACTTTTAAATACTAACTTCCCGTTGCACGCCTCTAATTAACTAAACAACATTTGGGGGAATAAAAGTGACTTAATAATGTCAAAGTATTGCCATGCACAACATACGGCTGGAGCGAGAACTATGGGTTTATGTTAGTTGTGCTGACATTGTCTCATTTAATCCATTTGGAAGGAAACAACAGAAATACTCGACGTTCCTGAAAAGTTATGGGTCAGAGTTACAGTACTCAAACTTTACCAGAGATGGGTGGTCATTTTAAAATATTCTGATATATTAAAGTGTTTAATAACATATATTCAAAAATACCCATAAATAACGTGCTTGTTCTCCTTGGAGTGGTTTTTTTTTTTTTAAAAAAAAAAAAGTAAAACAATGCTAATGCCTGCCAAAACATTCCTTCATATGGGAAAAGTACTGGGCCAGTATAGAAGAAGCCAACACATCTTACTTCTAAAATAACCTCCCAGTATGCAGGGATTTGCATGAATTTGTAGCCTAAATAGCTGCCCTCAGTGCATACCTCTAGAAGGCTACTTTTCAGAGCAGAAAATAATTAAAGTCCATGTTCGTTTTTATCATACAAAATTCAGGCAGGCAGAAATCCTGGATGGTGGGACACAGCGTCCTTTCCAAAAGGATTATTTCTACACAGAAGAAGACCAAGATGTCTCTCTGGGGCACGACCCCCACCCGGTGCCCCGTGGCAGGTTTGGAAGGATGGAGTTTCGCAACGGCGAATCCCGTTCCTCGAAAGGCAGAGGAAACGCCAGACACAGATGGCAAGACTTGGCCACCACCACCAGCAGCAGCCCGAGCAGGGTATGGAGAGGAGCAAGAAGGACGTGAGTTCCTGTTCCAGCACGTCCTCCTTGGCCAAGGATTTTAAGCACAACCCGGAGCCAGAACCACATGCACAGATTTTAACTGATGCCACTTGTGGATGGCTAAGAGAGTGCAGAAGGTGAAGCTGCTGGAGCATGTGGGTTTTGTGGAGCATTTTTGTTCCCCTTTGCATTTCTTTGCTGGCAAATGACCTCATCAAGACTAATAACCCCACCTGAGCATCCCCCTCCTGCCATGGCATGTAGTGATGAGGGTGCTGGGGCGCCCTGTGGGCTCAGCCACTGTGGGTAATGGGCACCAGGAGCCCTGCTCTGCCCAGAGACCCATGGAGCAGTCAGTGCCACGTTCCATAGGGTGCTCCTGAGCCCCACGGCACCCCAGCAATGAAAAGAACAAAGCCATCCCATCCTGCAGCACCCACAGAGCCACCTGCAGTGCACTGATGCTTCCCTAAGACACAAGCCAATGCAGTTTAAGGAATAATAAGACAAAACAATGAAAGATGCCGCAGCTGTTTGGGGTGTCTTTGCATCAAAGCAAAGGCCTTCTAATTCTGGGTCTCCTTAGCTGGCTTCTCGCAGAGTAGCAGCCAGCAGCCCTCACTGCTGGCCTTGTTCTAATTACTGCTCTTTTTTTTCTTTTTTTTTTTTTTCTGTTTACAGAACCACTCTAAAAATATTTCCATTCCCAGATGCTTTTCCTAGCCTAACATTTCTGTGACAGCGCTGCCAAATCCAGTGTCATCTTGTACATCACACAGCTTTTTTCAATTAAAGCTCAGACAGATTTTCCACAGATGATATTTCATCGTCTGCGCGAGGGACCGCTGCCTCCAGCCCCTCTGTCTGCAGGGAGGGCAGCGCTGCTGAAAGATGCTCCTACAGCCTGACCCTTCCCGGGCCCAGGAAATGGGTAAAAAGGGGATGAAAAGGATATTGTTACTACTGGTTGCATGTGGGAAGTGGGTCCAGGCAGTAGCAGCTCAACTTCTCCTCTTTCCCATCCCTATCCCCCTTCCTGAAGATCCAAACACCTCGCCCCCAGCAGCAGGGAGCTGACACTGTAAGAGTAACCATCAGCAGCTGTAACTAGAATTGGGCACAACATCCCCTTTTACAGCACGGCACAAACCCATTGATTCTCATAAACAGCTGAGAAACGCCTCACTGGACAAAGAAAAGGTCATATTTTCTAAAACGTGCAAAGCATGCAGATTAAAAACCTCTACGAAGCACCCACGGGTGATTACCCTCTGCACACACAGTCCGAGCCCACACAAACCTTTATGGCACAGTCCTTCCGTTCACTATATAAATCCCTGCTATATTTGAGATTTCTTCGTTTGAAGTGCTCATAATATAAATAGGGATACATCGTGTAATCCCAAACTGATTTATTCTAACCTCAGACAATTTCCAGAAACATGTTGTGTGTTAATACAGACCATCTCTCCACTCTGCAGGCCAACAAAAGCAATTGGCTCAGATTAAATTCTTTGCCTTGGACTGGAGTTCATCCCTCCACCGAAACAGTGGAGAAGGACCTGAAGATGTCAGCTCCCTGCCTCCTGCCCATGTGGTTCTGATAAAGAAAGAGGTAATTTCAGGACGTCCAAGGGCTCCTTTTGTTCTCTTTCACTTTCAATAGAAATATCTGTTCTTTCCCCCCTCCCTTCTGTATTAAAATCCTCTGTGACTTGTTATATTTGAACTACAAAGGCGCAAGTGATGGGGCAGAGGTAGCTCTCTGGAAGGGAGGGATCCTAAGGCATGAGGGGACATCAAGAGTCTGCTGTCATCGACTGCCCTTGACTCTCCAGGCAACGCCAAAGAGGAGGCTTAAGAATCCCCTGTGGGACTGAGCATAGACCCAAGCTCTGTTCTCCTGGGCCACCTGCCTGTCCCCCATGGTCGCTGCCTGGTCCTTCAAGTCAGGGATGCTGGCTTCCTAAAAACCCTCTGATTTCCAAGATCAAGCCCGAGCAAAGCCTCTGACTCTCCTGGACCACCCGATGGCACTGGGGTCACCTGCCTGTCCCCCGTGGTGGCTGCCTGGTCCATCATGTCAGGGATGCTGGCTTCCTAAAAACCCTCTGATTTCCAAGATCAAGCCCGAGCAAAGCCTCTGACTTGGCAGTGTAAATATTTACGTAGAGCGAGGACTAAAGGAAAGAAGCACTCACACGTACTTGTGGAGACACCACAGAAGGCAAGGACACGCTCAAAAGGGCTGGGGATTCCTGCAACGTGACCCGTGGAAAGACACCCAGACAGACTGCACATTGCTGCCAGGCTTGGGGGATCACATCTGAGCATCAGCAAAGGCAACAAATGGGAGAGCACATCCCTCTGCACCCACCAAACCCAACCAGGAGCATCCCCTCAGTGCCCCCCCCAGTGCCACCAGCTGCAATGCCCAGGCTCTGCTTGGGGTGGGTTCCTTCCAAGGGCACAAATAGCTTGTATTTACACAAATCAGAGCTGTATGAACTCCAGCCCCATCACACTGGGCTCCTCCAGAGAGGAGAGCTGCTGGGCTCTGGCACCAAGGACCCCCTACAGAATCTATAGGGGCAGAAAGCCCTGCACCAGAGAACAGGCACCAAACGGGGCAGTGGGGGCACATTGGCACCCGTGGCACGAAGTGGCTCTACCTCTGCGGGTACATAAACCACTGTGGGCTGCCATAAACACCAGCAGAGGAGTAACCTCCACATCTGAGCTCTGTTCTGTCCTTTAACAAGAAAAATAAGTTGACTTCACACCGTCTACACCACTGGCTCAATAGATTAGTTCAGCGCGATTAGGAAGTTGTGAGAGATATATATATACACACACACATATATATATATGCACATTTCTGTCCCAAAAGTGTAAAGAACAAAAGCCACCAGTCCTGAAGAGAGAAAGCCAGACTCTTAGGCCTGCTCTGTTGTTATTTTAGGAAGAGTTTTGGGCAATTATGCACTCGCCCTGCCAGCTCTGCATCTGCGTCCCCACGGACCCTGTGGATGGTGGGGACACGGGCACCACTGAATGATAGAATTGCCCAGGTTGGAAGGGACCTTCCAGAGCACAGCTCCTGCCAGCCCCGCTCCCCACAGCTCCCCCAGACCCCCCCCGTGACTCACACACTCACCCCCCTCCCCTTAATTTGGGCAGCTGGATTCTGAGCGCTGTGTGCAGTTAAACTTGCTCAGCAGTTTAATGCAAAGCAGGTTTTTCGGGGCTGGGCACACGGAGTGGGGACACCCTGGTCCCCACAGAGGGCAGCCACGCCAGCAGGTAAGCACGAAAGGCAAAAGAAAAGGATGGAAATTGCCTTCAAACCCCAGATTCCTCCCTCTACTGATCCCTTTGATACTTTCTCTGGACGTTTCACCTTCTGGGGCTGACCCTGTTGAGAACTCCACAGCTCCCCGATGGCTGGCTCCTGTTTTATTCTACGAGGCAGAGGCAGCAGAATCACTCTGTACCACAAAAAAGGGAGCTGCATATTATAAAGACAATTATTAGATGACAGACCGCATGCACTTACATGCAAACAGTAGCGATGCACTGCCATGAACTCAAGTTTCCATGTTCGGTGCTAGAGCAGTGGGCTGGGAATGATGCTATTTTTTATTTTATTTGCAATCCCTTTTGCTTCTGGATTTTCCCAGAAAAAATACAGGGTGCTCGGTGAAATTGCACCTCAAGCTCACATCTCCCTGCTCTCGTTAGAGTATCATCCTGTAGAGAAGGCAGGATGGAAGGATGTCCAGCCTGTGCTGCTCTGGGCATGGTGGGTACCATGTCCTCAGGAGGCTTTTTTTCCCTGCTCCCATCACCATCCCCAGCTGGCACACACGGGCTCACACAGTCATTTTTAGCAAACTTAGGAACGTGACTATCCTCTGAGAAAAACCAGCAAATGGCCTCTCTAATGCCATCGCCCAGGAATTCTTTCCACTTGTATGAAAATATCCCTCAAAAAAAAAAAAAAAAAGAAAAAAAGTGAGGCAATGTGTCACACAAAGCTGTGAGGGAGAAGGGGTTTAATAAAAACAAGAGCAGCAGCAGATGCTGGAAGGCAGACTCCAAGCTCCACCCTGGTGTCTCTGAGCCTCTGGTTTGGGGCAGGCAAATGATGATATTTCAAGAAACTGGCCCAGAAATCAGCCACAAGCCAGAGCTGGCACCCGAACCCCAACATCTGGACACGCACCAGCCCAGCGCATGCAGGACCAGCATCCCGGGGAAGAGGGGTCGAGATGGTTATGGCCATGGTTCTGCACACAGCCAGGCTTCTTCTCACTTGTTTGCTTTACCTGGTGCCTCCCGTGCGGGCTGGGGAAAGCAGCTGAGCTAAAAACCACCAACTGGAACCTTCTCCTAATCTACTACCTAATCTGCCAATCACATCCTGGGCTGCATCAAAAGATGCGTTGCCAGCAGGTCCAGAGAGGTGATTCTGCCACTTCACTCTGCTCTGGTGAGACCTCACCTGGAGTATTGTGTGCAGCTCTGGAGCCCTCAATATAAGAAGGACATGGACCTGATGGAGTGGGTCCAGAGGAGGGCCACGAGGATGATGAGGGGGATGGAGCACCTCTGCTACGAGGACAGGCTGAGGGAGCTGGCGTTGTTCAGCCAGAAGAAGAGGAGGCTCCGGGGAGACCTCCTAACAGCCTTCCAGTACCTGAAGAGAACCTACAGGAAGGCTGGGGAGAACCTGTTTGAACCTGAATTGACGGTTGGACAAGATGATCTTTAAGGTCCCTTCCAACCTAGAAGATTGATTCTGTGATTCTGTTTACAAAGGCCTGCAGTGACAGGACGAGGGGCAATGGCTTTAAGCTGGAGGGGAACAGATTTAGACTGGAGATGAGGAGAGGGTTCTTCACTGTGAGGGTGGTGGAGCACTGGAACAGGTTGCCCAGGGAGGTGGTTGAGGCCCCTTCCCTGGAGATATTCAAGGAGAGGCTCGACGAGGCCCTGGGCAACCTGGTCTAGTTGGGGGTGTCCCTGCTGACTGTGGGGGGGTTGGACTAGGTGACCTTTGGAGGTCCCTTCCAGCCTAGATAACTCTATTACTCTATGACTACTTCATGCATTTGTTCTGAAAACGCTGTGCCTGGTGCCCAAAAGCAGGAGCACCAAAGCACTGGGTGTTACTTCTCCTGAACCAAAATAAAATAAGGGGCTGCAAAGAAGCCAAAATCGTGCGTGTCCACACTGGAGAACAGCAAACATTGGGAAACCAGTAATAGAGACGTGTTAGGGAAGACCACCAAGACCCTGAGGAACAAAAGAACACGCAACCCATCACCCGTCACCTCAAATTCTCTGCACGGAGGATGGATGCAGGTGGATCTGCCAACATAAGCATTTCCTACACAATGCCAGGCGTTGGCAGGCGGGAAAAGGGCTAAGAAGAATTGGAGGTTCTCAAGAAATTCCACCCCCTGCCTTACCAATGCAGGTCCTGCCATCCGTGTGCAGGCGGAAGCCGGGCTTGCACTCGCAGTAGTAAGATCCGAGGGTGTTCACACAGCGGTGCTGGCAGCCCCCGTTGTGGACCTGGCACTCGTCGACATCTGCAAGAGAAAAGGGAAAAGGGGGAAAATGAGTTCAGGGAAGCGGGTACGGCCACGTCTGAGGTCGGGGTCATTCATCCTCCACTGCCTGACTCCAGACTGGAGGAGCGACCGCAGAAGGAACACGATTTGCCATTTTATTACCTTTAATCAGTCTAGGAAATCTCAAGAACAAGCATCCAATTAAAGGGATAGGAAAAAAAAAATAATAAAGGCATCATATTTGTCCATGAGCATAAACCATCCTTCATCTTGTCCATCTCACAACAGTCACTTTTCCCATTTGCTCAAAGATTTATTAAAATGTTACTCTTAAGGTGTTGAAAACTGGGCGGGCTGGTCCATTTCACACTATTTACACCTGGAACTCCCTCGACCCGCTGCTGAAATGCAGCAACATCTGGGGTGTCTGGTGATGAGCCCGGCTCAGAATTGCTCTGCATCACTGGAGACGAGGAAGAAAACGTGATAAAACCTGGAGGAAGTTATTACAATGGATCAATTCTGGGATTAGAAAGGATTTCTTCATAATTATATGATATTTAAGGACGTGGTGAAGCCCAGCTTGACCCCAAAATATTGAAGGCAACTCTGGCAGGTCCCTAGTCATCTCCCCCAGCTCTTTTTCTTCTTGTCTCCAAGAAGAAAACCCCTTGGCCAACCCCACCGTGTCCATTCCTGCTGGTAAAACCACAGGCCCTTGGACAAAAGGCAGTCCCAGAGCCAGAAAAACCTTCTGCCAAGTGCTGAGCAATCTTTCAAGAGCTGAAATAGGAACTGGCCCATGAGTTCTTGGTAAAAAAAAAAAATAAAATCCTGTTATGTTCTATTATCAAAGCTTCCAACCCAGGGAGGCAGACGGCAGCGTGTTACAGGGAGGGGGATTCGTTCCTCTTTCACAGACCTTAAATTGCCTTTAAGCGCTGGGAATAACTTCCAGAACTGAGGAGAAATGCAAAAACGTTTGGAGCGCCCAGCTACATGGTGCTAACTAAGATGCATATCAGAAGCTTGTCAAAGGCAATTTCGAGTTTCTGGGAAATAAGAGTCCTTCATATGGTTATAATTATAAATAACAGAGATGTTTGTGGCTCTAGCCGCCCGGTCCTGTGCGTCCTGCCGCTTGTGCGTGCCCAGGGACACACGTAGGCTACCTTGCAGGCTGGAAAGGACCAAAGATCTCCAGTCAGATGGAGGAACCACGTTAACAGCAGAAAGGATCAAGCAGCAATTCCTTTTTGCACAGGGAGAAAACTCCAGTAGCTTTGGGTCTACACACTTTTTTTTGTGCACTTTTTGAACTCCACAAAGACATCTTCAGCAGGCAGAGCCGGCGCAGGGTCAGGCCAGCAGTGAGGATGGTCCCCAGCCAAGCTGTGAACCAGCACCGTTTCATCAATGACTGTTACTAATGAGATAAAGAAACATTTCCTCAATGAATCACGGCGGGGCGTTGCCGTTGCCTGTCTCCTCGCTCGCCGGCGGCACAAAAACCTGCCGGAGCCTCCCCTTTGCCCAGCGCCTGCGACCGCTCCCCTGCCCCAAGCATCACCCCCCACTGGAAAAGTTCAAACCCCAACCAGCCTGAAGTGGCAAAGAGCATCGAAAAAACACAGGAAAAGGAGAAAACGCCACCTTGACCGAAGGCAGTGCTAAAATCTTACATTAATTCCATTCATTTTACGTTTTCATCAACCGCCAGCAGCGAGCAAAGGGAATGGGTCAGGGGGGAGATGGGAAGCAGAGTGGGAAAGGTGATGCTTCTGAGCTACACAATAATCATAAAAAAAGTCTGTTTTCTCAGAACGCTTTTCATTACAAGGCTTCTCACTGCCTAAAAAGTTAAAACTGAAGGAGGGGAGCACATGAAAAAGGTCCAGTGAACCCACAATCTTGCCTTCTGCTGTCCTGCTGCTGTGGCCATACACAGCTCCTGCTTCAGAGCTCCCCTCTGTACTTCTGGTCTTCATTAACCCCACAGAAAGCAACAATTCCCCTTATGCCAGACCTTTGCTCATTCAGTGGACTGTAGATTCCTTCTCCGAGCATTTCAGAAAGTTTTAGTATTTTCTTCCTGTTTTTTCCATAAGACTTAATTTTTTAAAGAAAGGAAAATGGCTAGATTTTTGAGGTGAAACATAAGCTTGAAGCGATGCTCTCCAAAGAGTAACCCAAATCCAAACCAGCTTTCCTCGGGGGGGAAAAAATGCTGTGGCATGAATCTGAGCTGCCTGTCAAAGCAACCTTGCCCAAATTAAATCATTTTCATCTGCGAAGGCTTGACACAATTTGGATGCGACGGAGCCCTGGAGCCCCCAACGGGCTCGCTCCTCGTGCCGGGGGGCAGGGAGCTCGGAGGGAGCCCCACTTGGACCTGGGTGTTCAGCTCTGACCCCTCCGAGAGGACCCCAGCCCCACCACTCACTGGGAGGAGGAGGAGGATGGCACCAGGGGCCAGAATAAAGGCAACATCCCAAACCTGTGTGGTGGGAGCCTGGGCACAGCTATTTTTCCTTCTTTTTTTTTTAACACCTCTCTGGGCAGAATTAGCCATTAATACACCAAATTAGCTCGACTCAGCCAAAGGTCTGCCAGTCTTAAACACAGTGAAATCTGGCCAATGTACTGAGCCCCCAGCTGTGGACACATCACATAAATTGCTTGGTTTGTGCAAAAGTACAAACACATAGAAATGCCTTTCAGTGAGACTCTGATCTACTGTGTCTCTAGGAAGTGCTGGAGAACGACAACAATAGAACAAACCTAAAGAAAAGACTGTTTGTTGAAGGAATAGAGATAAAGAGTTATGATGAATTATTATTATGATTCCCAGAAATTACAAAAGCTTGCCTTGAGTAAAACTGTGCTGTCATTTTCTGGCAGACCAATTTTTCCATTGGAAAACACTGGTGAAAAAAAAAAAAAAATAATCACATCCTTTGTCTAAAAGCAACACTGGAATTTCTGCTCTGCAGGAAATATTAAACTTTCGTTTTGACGGGGACCAGCATTTTCTCTTTCGAATTTGCTCAAGGACAGGAAAACTAGGATTTGGGAATATTTTATAGAGAGCAATAAAGCTTTTTGGGCTGAATTTAGATGACTTTTCCGCTGCTTCCCTTCAACTCTAATCTGACACCGGAGAGAATTCACCATCCAAAAAAGTTAGTGATGTGTTGAATAAACTTCTTACTTTCACCCCATTACTCATGCTCGGTGATTATACATCTCCTCTCTAAGTGTCTCTTCTTCCCTCTTTGTGTTTTTCACCCTGTAAATCTCTGTAATTCCAGGGGGCTGTCGTCCCCCCCAAATCCCCCCCTGCCCTATCCCACCTCGGCTGGGAAAGCGGCTGGTCCTTCCTGGCCCCCACCACCTTCCCCATGGGACCCACTGTGTCCCCATTTCCCTTCTGGAGCTTCTCTCCTCTCCTTCTGCAGTAGCAGAGAGGGTTTGGGACATGTGCTACACGATGATGTGACCAAAATAAAGCCCCCCCACCCTTCGCACCCCTGATGGGCAGGCAGCAGCGTA